CCTCAAATGACTCAACCAGCTAAAATGACTGAATTATCTCAAATAATCCAAGCGGCTCAAATGACTGAATTGCCTCAAATGATTCAACCAGCTCAAATGCCACAATTGTCTCAAATGATCCAACCAGCTCCAGTGACTGAATTGCCTCAAATGACCCAACCAGCTCAAATTACTGAATTGCCTCAAATGATCCAGCCAGCTCAAATGACCGAATTGCCTCAAATGACCCAACTAGCTCAAATGCCACAATTGCCTCAAATGACCCAATTGGCTAAAATGACTGAATCGCCTCAAGTGACTCAACCAGCTCAAATGACTAAATTGCCTTAAATAACCCAAGCAGCTCAAATGACTGAATTGCCTCAAATGACTTAACCAGCTTAAATGACTGAATTGCCCCAAATGACCCAACCAGCTCAAATGCCACAATTGTCTCAAATGATCCAACCAGCTCCAGTGACTGAATTGCCTCAAATGACCCAACCAGCTCAAATTACTGAATTGCCTCAAATGATCCAGCCAGCTCAAATGACCGAATTGCCTCAAATGACCCAACTAGCTCAAATGCCACAATTGCCTCAAATGACCCAATTGGCTAAAATGACTGAATCGCCTCAAGTGACTCAACCAGCTCAAATGACTAAATTGCCTTAAATAACCCAAGCAGCTCAAATGACTGAATTGCCTCAAATGACTTAACCAGCTAAAATGACTGAATTGCCTCAAATGATCCAAGCAGCTCAAATGACTGAATTGCCCCAAATAATCCAACCAGCTCAAATGCCACAATTACCTCAAATGATCCAACCAGCTCCAGTGACTGAATTGCCTCAAATGACCCAAGCAGCTCAAATGACTGAATTGCCTCAAATGACCCAACCAGCTCAAATGACTGAATTGCCTCAAATGACCCAACTGGCTCAAATGACTGAATTGCCTCAAATAACTCGACCAGCTCAAATGACTGAATTGCCTCAAATGATCCAACCAGCTCAAATGCTACAATTGCCTCAAATGACCCAACTGACTCAAATGCCTGAATTGCCTCAAATGACCCAACCAGCTCATATGTCTGAATTGCCTCAAAAGACTCAACCAGCACAAATGACTAAATTGCCTCAAATGACCCAAGCTGCTCAAATGACTAAATTGCCTCAAATGACCTAAGCAGCTCAAATGACTGAATTGCCTCAAATGATCCAGCTGCCTCAAATACCTCAGTTGCCTCAAATGACCCAACTGGCTCAAATGACTGAATTGCCTCAAATGACTCAACCAGCTAAAATGACTGAATTACCTCAATTAATCCAAGCGGCTCAAATGACTGAATTGCCTCAAATGATTCAACCAGCTTAAATGACTGAATTGCCTCAAATGACCCAACCAGCTCAAATTACTGAATTGCCTCAAATGATCCAACCAGCTCAAATGCCACAATTGCCTCAAATGATCCAACCAGCTCCAGTGACTGAATTGCCTCAAATGACCCAAGCAGCTCAAATGACTGAATTGCCTCAAATGACTCAACCAGCTCAAATGTCTGAATTGCCTCAAATGATCCAGCCAGCTCAAATGACCGAATTGCCTCAAATGACCCAAGCAGCTCAAATGACTGAATTGCCTCAAATGACTCAACCAGCTCAAATGTCTGAATTGCCTCAAATGATCTAGCCAGCTCAAATGACCGAATTGCCTCAAATGATCCAACTAGCTCAAATGCCACAATTGCCTCAAATGACCCAATTGGCTCAAATGACTGAATCGCCTCAAGTGACTCAACCAGCTCAAATGACTAAATTGCCTAAAATGACCCAAGCAGCTCAAATGACTGAATTGCCTCAAATGACTCAACCAGCTAAAATGACCGAATTGCCTCAAATGATCCAAGCAGCTCAAATCACTGAATTGCCCCAGATGATCCAACCAGCTCAAATACCACAATTGCCTCAAATGACCCAACTGGCTCAAATGACTGAATTGCCTCAAGTGACCCAACCAGCTCAAATGTCTGAATTGCCTCAAATGACTCAACCAGCTCAAATAACTAAATTGCCTCAAATGACCCAAGCAGCTCAAATGACTGAATTGCCTTAAACTACCCAACCAGTTCAAATGATTGAATTGTGTCAAATGACCCGATCAGTCAATAATAGCCAACTGCCTTAAATGAACCAACTGGTTCAGATGACTGAATTGCCTCGAAGGACCAAATCAGTTCTAGTGATGCAACTGCCTTAAAAAGACCCAGCCAGTTTAAAAGACTGAATTGCCTCAAATGACTCAACCAGTTCTAGTGACCCAACTGCCTCTAATGACCCAATCAGTCAATTAAAGCCAACTGCCTCAAATGATCCAACTGGCCCAAATGACAGAATTGCCTCAAAGGACCAAATTGGTTCCAGTGACCTAACTGTTTCAGATGACCCAATAATTTCAAATAACATTTACTTTCTGAAACAGCAGAACCTATCATGTGGCCATCAGCGAAAATGACCCAATCAGTGCAAGTGACCCAACTGCCTGAAATGATCCAATCCACTCAAATGACTCAATAAGCTTAATTAAACTACAAAAAGCTACAGGAAAACAATGCAAGCTGTTCACAAGTGTTTCCATAGAGCAGGAAAACAAGAGACGAACAACACATCTTCATTTCTTAATCACGGTCGTTAGTAATTCTGTGAGAACAGTATCGTTCGCGTACTCGGGAAAAGTAGAGAAAAACTTTCGGTTGAACAAGCCATACATTAGCGTTTCCATGGAGCAGGAAAAAAATCGACAAAGATCATGTTTTCATGATATTAGTAATTATCTGGGAATACGCTTGGAAAATGCAGCAATCGCACGCTCGGGAAAACTATAGAAAAACGTTCTGGAAAACAAGCTATCAGTGGCGTTTTCGTGGAGTAGGAAAACAATCGACGATTTTCTTGTTTTTTTGGCATTTACCGTTTGCAATTCTGCAGGAAAACGCTCGACAAATGCAACGTTCGCGCGCTTGGGAAAATTATAGAATAACGTTCAGGAAAACAAGCTAGACACTAGCGTTTTCGTGGAGCAGGAAAACAATCGACAAACATCATGTTTTCATGGCATTTACCATTGGTAATTCTGCGAGGAAAACGCTCGGAAAATGCAGCGATCGCGCGCTCGGGAAAACTTGAGTAAAATGTTCAGGAAAACAAGCTATACAATAGCGTTTTCGTGGAGCAGGAAAACAATCGACAAACATCATGTTTTCATGGCATTCACCGTTAGTTATTCTGTGGGAAAACGCTTGGAAAATGCCGCGTTCGCGCGCACGGGAAAACTATAGAAAAACGTTCAGGTGAACAGGCTATTCATTGGTATTTTCCTGGTGCTGGATAACTTGCGATGAACTTCGTGTTTTTCCTGAGTTTTACTGAGGGTGAACAATGAATTTGCCGCACGTTTTCCGATATCGGAAAACGTCAGTTTAATGTTGAATTTCTCAGTCATTCACCATTTCGGAAAATTAACAGTGAACGCATGTTTTTTTGCCGTGTAGCAACACCTAAACTTGCTCGATGAATTTTTTTATTCTACCCTACTCACGACGTGCATTTTAAGACAGTATTTGTTTCTGCATTCAAGGCTTTCACCTATTGTTTGAAATCGTAATCCTACTACTGAAAACTGTCATTTCTGCCGCGCTGCCTCGCAAGTCAAGAAGGCTTCCAAAACCATAATAAAGTCAGCTTAATCGAAATCCCTTACGGCAAACCCCACACGTAAATGATGGACTTTGAAAACTTAAGATTGAATTGAGAACTTAAAGCCTTATATTCAAAACGTAACAATTTGCTTAACTCCGGCCTTATAACACTAGGGACCTTAAGCAGTCAGGACGGCAACGCCAGTGAAGACTTCAATTAAAAATGAATTTCTGCCGTTAATTAGAATTTCAAAAATGGCTGAATGTGTTCACCGTCTCATACGGCGCCACACCTCAACTTCAGCATAACGTATAAAAGAGGCGTTGAGTTCCAAATGGAAATTAAAACAACTTGCCGTCGCGGTTTCGGTTTGCAGACGACGCAATTTGTGATGATTTCACGTTGTTGTTTTGCATGGGACGGCTATGAAATGTACAAAATTTTCAAACGCACGTGCTGAGCTATTGTTTTGTTAATTAAATCTATTGTTTTTCCATGTCCTCGTTGCCGTCGCTGTCGTGGTTTGCTTAAGGTCCCTACTAATTTGCCGACGGCACCTCTTACCAGCCTTTTTGAATCAATTTGAGATGAATCGCTAGATCCGTTATGTAAGCTCTAAATTTTGAAGAAATGTTTAAAGCTTGTTCCTTCATACTTTTCCTGAAACATCTTCACTAAAGGTTTAAGTCTTCACTGCCCCTCTACATTTTGTTCGACAGTCGAGCGAACACGAGCTGAAACTACAACAAAGCCGTACAAATGTCAACTTGGGGAAAAGGCTTCCTCTCACTCATCAAAACTGGCGCGAAATAGCGATGACGTAACGGCAACTTATTGGCGTAATACCGCATACGCGCAAGATCATGTTTTGAGCTCTGTTTGAGGTGCCAAATACTTATACTTATACTCACTTATACTAAGCTACCTATAAAATACTTACTCGATGAATAGTCTTCATGGAGAACGCGTTGTGTTCTATTTATCTTAAAGCATTTTCAATTCGCTCACGAGTCACGACGCCGGCAGCAGTGACAAGTATGTATACATGTTTGTTCTATTTTAAAAATCGTTTGTTGAGTGTATTGTGAGATCCAATGTTTTGTGGAATCCAAATTTCCCCTCAAGACGACAGACAGAAGGACAAAAAAATGTTCGGTTCAAATAAGTCTATTTCGGACTTTTATCATCTTTTATCATCCACAGTCCATGCATTAAGTGACGCCGGAAACAATCTTCACCACCCTTTGGCTTCCACTGAAACGCAAGCATGTGAATTTTCCGTGAACACATTTCCCCTTGAGAAGACTTAACGCTCTTTGGGAGAGCAATACCGGAAGGCTTTCTAATCGTATTTACATGGGTCGATGCATCTCAAGAACACCTTTTTTATTTTAAAAGTTAAAAAAAAAAAACATAACAAAAGAAACGATTACTAAAAGTCTTTGTCAAAAAATATCTTTCTCCTTCAAAGTTTGACTGACAAGCCATTCCCATGCATAGCATGAGATTACCCTTTAGATAATTGTTCAACAAAAGTTACTCTCTTATCGAGAACTAATTTTATCGGGTTAAGATGAGCAATGGTTTGCATGTATTTTTTACTATTTCTTTCAAATTACTGTCGTTTTGAGTGTCATTTTCATTAAACCGAGATGGAACTGTTTCAGTTACTGAACACCTTGAAATGGTATCCATACCTTTACAATCTGATTTTTATTTCATTCATCCTCTCTTTTTATAACATAGCTAGTAAATTTGTCTAATCAAATTCAATTGCGCGAGCGTGCTTCATATTCTTATTGTGCACGCTCATGACGTCAGCAAACAGATCCCTCGAGAAAAAAATTTTCCAACGGGTTGAAAATGTTATAAAACAATTGGTTCATACGTCAGCTGAGCGTTCATCGAGATATGGAGCACTTGGGAAGTTTAGAGAGCACACAAGAAGCATCTCACGCATCTCTCGTGCTCTCCAAACTTCCCGCGTGCTTCATATCTCGATCAACGCACGCTGACGTATGATAGCATAACATAGCTAGTAAATTTTTCTAATCAAATTCAAATGCGTGAGCGTGCTTCCTATTCCTTTATAAAATAATTCAAATAGTACGCGCGCTCTGATTGGCCATAAAACCATTTTACATGAGCGCACAGTATGTAAACACGGTTTTCATACTGAATCTTCTCGCGGAGTTCTCCCTGCTATTTATTTAGCAGTAACTCAGTTTCTTTAAGTTTGTTTTGAGTACAGTAATGGAAGAAGAAGATTATCCTAATTTTTCTTTGGAGTTTAATTTTCCCAGTTTTCAAGAAACGGCCGAAAAGCCAAATGAACAACAAGCTTTCCTTCGTTGCAAGAAGAGGCTCTTTCATTAGTTATTTTATAAAAGAAATTTGGGGGGTTGGGAGAACACTCGATAAGCTGGAAACCACTCCGCTTCGCGTCGTGGTTTCCCACTCTTATCTCGTGTTCTCCCAACCTCCCGCGTGTTTACATCAGGCCATGTAAACACGGAAACCATTTTACATTTCTTCAATTGTGCACGCTCATGACGTCAGCAAACAAATCCCTCGAGAAAAAAATTTTCCATAGGGTTGAAAATGTTAGAAAACAAATGGTTCATACGTCAGCTGTGCGTTCATCGAGATCTGAAGCACGTGGGAAGTTTGGAGAGCACGAAAGATGCGTACGAGGTGCTCGAGGCGTAAATTGTTAAATGATGCAGAAAATCTTACTAAAATGGCAAGTATTCTCTAAAATACAGTAGGCCTTAGTGTGAACTTTTCACCTAAAGTTATACCGAATATCTCCTAAACTTGACCCTAGATCACTAAATGTTTCCATACAGTTCTTGCTCACCATAATCTTGTTCTTGCTCACCATAATTCAGTGAGATTATTTTGTTGTTACTTCACCGCCCAGCGCTAACGTAGCAATGAAAGGATCGCCCTAAGAAGTTTCTTGTCCATTCTTTCTCTCATTCAACTGGTGAACTTGACAGTTAAGGAAAAATCTTGAGAGGGCACACCTTCAGAACGTCCGTAATTTCCTTCTCCACCCTTCGTTCAAGGACTGCAGCTTTAAATCGCGACGACAGTATGTCTGTTACGGCTGTAATCTACCGTGACCTCCTTTCCCATTAAGTAACAAGCAGGAAAATGATTACGAAAACTAGTTGATTATTTGATTAAGCTAGCCCTATATCTGAAGTAATTAACCGTCGCCGTTCCTCCTAAGGTCTCCATTTAACGTTCCCAACACCGTGGAATTGTCTTTTAAGTGCTTGGGGGTCCGCCCAGTCTGAGTTAAGGTAACTGTCGTCTTCATCTGTTTCAAGTTTCTATAAGAAAAAAAATGGACTTGTAAATAAATAAAAATGAATGTATGTATATCAATGAGAGAGCTTGACCATTGCCTTCCTGCTTAACATTAGCACTCATATTCTCCTCACTGTTCTCTTTACAATTCCTATGCTGCTGACAAGGGGAATTTTTTTGGAAATCAGGTGCTTCTTAAATTGGTAATTATTTCCTTTATCCTCTAATTAAAATTAGAGTTATTAGAATTAAAAGCCAGTCACTCTAACATGACAAAATCTGGGTCTGCCAAATGTATGTGAGTAAGTGTTGTATGGTGAAAATTTCCAAAAAATCAGATCAGAGATAGTGGCAAGACACACTTTTAGTCCTATACAATAATTATGTATTAACATCTACTTTATTGATCATTCATCAAAATTACAAGCTTTTGGCACAGAAAAATGTTGTATACTAGGTTCCATAATTTCAAATTTTTTCTTCCTTTGTGTAAAGTGACTTAACTTAAGATTTAGTAAACAAATAAAAGGACATAAATTTTAAATGTACATGGATGTGAAAACTCACCTTAAGGTCTTCTTGTTTTCTGTAAGCATAAGCCATCATTTGTTTCCGTTGCTCTTCACTGAACACCGGTTCTCTGCTGGGTGGCCCTTGTCCCTTCTGTAATCAGGAAGAAAAAATTATACCATGCACTTTCACATGTACTACATTCACTAACTTTATCAAGAAGTGTACATGTTCAAGAATTGAAAAAAGAAAGAAACAAAAAATCGTATAGAAAAAACAAAATGAAACAAACCAATTATTGTAACATACAGTATAGTATCAAACCCATCAGATACATTTATTTACTAAATCATTTCAATGCAATTCTTAATCAATTCGAAATTGATATACTTAGTAATTTCAATGAAAGGGTTCAACTCAGTCAACCCTGCACATAAGACCAGCTGGCCAACCTTCCCCCTCAAACCTACCACCACCCCCACCCCACACCGACACACACACACACAAAGTCACACATCTCAGTGACTACCACCACAGCAGAAGATTCCTTAGCTTCAACTGCATTCACCCTGTGGGCAATTCAAGATATATTTTCTCGTTGTTCACCTTTTGAAGTTTGGCAATAAGTTTTGTTTTCTCATTTTTCCCAATGAAGTCTTGCAGCTTTTTCCCTCTCTGAAGCTCCTTCCCAGCCCACCACAATTGGGTAGTGCTTCCATCCAAGACTTGAAGGGAAGCCTGTTAAGGGGGAAGGTACATCACACATGTAAATTCAGTGGAAATGAGAGAGACAAGGGAATTATGTAATTTTTATTTACTAATTGATGAGAAATAGGAAAATCATACAATCCAAATAATGTCAATTTTGTCATCCACCCCATGTTTATAAAACAGGTATATATAATCAAAAGTAACTAAAAGGAGGAAAAAAAAAACTTTATACTGTACTGTACATGATTTTGTTGGGCTTATTGGATGCATCCATACAGTACACAATGCTTGATAGCAATTTGCATTATTTTAATCAGCCTGACTTAAATGGAGAATTCCCCTTAATTCATGTAATGTACATGCATGTAAGAACACAAAAGAAAAAGATTATGCTGGGTCAGGGAGTAATCTCATAAGCAGCAGCAGCACTGTTGTAATTTCAACTTTGATTTTGGTAGCTTAATCCATTAACTTGCATGTAGTGCATTCATACACTTATGCATACATTACTTGTGTTTTTAATACCGGTAGCTTCACCTGAGTTCCAGATAAATCCTCTTTGTTTTCCAGTTCATGTCTGATAGGATCATGGGGAGGTAATCCCATGGGATACACAATCATCACAGCTCCTCTCATTTGATCTAAAGAATCTTTAATAATCTCATCAGTGAGAGAGATATTTGCTGCCACTTGTTCCTAAAATACGGATAGTGAAATATACACATTTCAAAAATTAATTGAAATCCTTCAATAATTGCTTTATATCAATTGCCCTGAAGTTCGTGAAACTCAGCCCCCATGTTACTTTTTCAAGTTTCAAAATCTTAAACATGCAGTATCATGAAATAAAATAAAAAATGATGATGAGTAATATCACATGTTTCACCTGTGGTCAGAAATACAATACAGTTACCATCACAAATATGTATGTACAAGTAACTACTTGTATCATTTCCAACAAACCTTGGACACTTTAGCCTTTGCTTCTTTTCTTGTTCTGTTGATGACCTCTGCCATTTTCTCACTGGGTGCTACAGCAAAAAGGAACGTGATTACATTAATTTATGATACTTGTCTCTATGTACATGAAATAGAGTATAAACTTGTCATTCAAATATTTACAATATAACATGTTAACTTTGAACTGAATATATCATGCCATACATGTATCTGTTGTTCAGTAATATAATTTATTCTCAGTCTGCATTAGACAGCCACAACTATTGTGGGGTCCTATGTATGGGCAATTCCATGTTATGGACATTACACCCAGAGACCAATTTTTTGGAAACTAATTTCCTTAAAAAAAACTTATTTTACACAGTTTTAAATTAATAATTATTTTGTTCAAACATTCCTCATGGGGTAATTGACTATCAGCAGTAAAGAAACTTTCCTTTCTTCAACAGCTGCTGCCAGTATTTTGTATGAAATTCTGTTACAGACATTACAAAAAAAATCAACCTACAATTTAATGTGTTCACTTGACATCAACTTATAGTTTTCCTGTGAATTGACTATTCAGACAAAAATCATTTAATAATAATAAGAACAAAGCTGCTTCATAGCTCTTTAAAATCTAGTTCCCTTATTCTGTGGTTAGATTTTGAGCTTGAGGTAAAACTTGCTGTTATGGACATTACACGATTTTTGTTACTGACATTGCACTGTGAAACTTTGTTTTACACCAGTATGAATAAGGGAATGTTCCTATTTGTTTATGAACTTTTGATAATTGACTTAATTTCAGAACTGATGAATGTATTCTTAATCAGGCTCAATTACAAGTTAACTCTCTCATCTGGTTATGCTGATAACCATAACCTTAAAACTACAGTTTGTGAACATGTCACTGTGGTCTGTGGAGTATCCCCCATAGAGCATGCTCCTTACAATTTAGTTTTTTTGAGCAAGCTCTAACTAGTATTTCTGCTGTCTTTTGGTTCTTGCTTTCTGAGATACAGTGCAGATTAGATTTCTAGTTTGAGACCAAGTTTTACACTGGAAGAGTCCTTAGGGTTACTGAATGCGGATACTCACAGAGGTTGCAATTAAATTTCTTTGCCAAGTTGTGGAAACATTTAACTGGCCTCTGAGGAGCAATATTGGGATATTGTGCACAAAAGCAGAGTCTGCTTTGGCCCCATAGAGCTAAAAGGCACTGGACCTTTCAATGTTCCAAGTCTTTCATATATTCAGAGGCTGTTTAAATATCTTTTAAAAAAATGTTTCAATAAAAATAACTAGTCAAACTAACTGCTGATTGTTTTAATTACTGAACTTGGATTGCGCTGAACTCCTTGTCTGAGAACTATTCATTGAATCTTAAGAAGCCACTATTTTGGAAAGTTACATTGCACTGAACTCACTCAGTATAAATTGACAATTTTCTCTGTAGTATGAGGACAGTCATTATCATTGCAATGGTCTTTGAAAGTTGAAGTATTGCTTTTTCAAGACACATTTCTAAAACATTGAATGGTTTTTTTGTTGTTGTTTTTTTTATCTTTAGATATTTTAAAAGAAGGTACTGGCTCTTGAAATGATTTGTCTCTCAGTAAACTAATAATTCATAGTTAGATGTAAACTTTTTGAAAATTTATACTCCTCATGTCACCATGGTGTTGCAACTATAAATGCACAGTTGTTGTTGTGGTTATTATTAATAGTGTTTACTTAAAAGTGCTGTAAACTTGGATGTGATAAATTTGAACAAAATTGGTTTGCATGTAGTATTTATCTCTTCCAAAAGAATTACAGTAATAAAAGTCATTCACTCATAATGTACGCAATGTAATTTCCATAACATCATGTCCATAATGTTATGTCCATAACATAATGTCCATAACATACATGTAAAGTAGGCTTATTTTTTTCTGGGCCCAGTTGTATAAAGGGTGGATAATGCTATCCAATGGATAAATCACTATCCAGCAGATAAGTGATAGCAAAACATATAGCATTATCCACCAGATAGAGATTTATCCAGTGGATAGCATTATCTGATCTTTCAACAGCCAGGGCCTGGAGATTTTCCAGGATTTTGATAATTTACAGCACTCAAGTTTGGGCCCCTAAAAACTGTAAAAGGAGCCAAGCTTACAAAAATAATTTTAAATGATTTTCACACACTTTTTATTGGACAAAAATAAACAGCCTTTCTTCGCCATTTCCTGTAAAGTCAACTTTCAGATAACTATTTTTTTATCAATTTAGGGATTCCAAAAATTCTTGATTGGGCTAGATAAGAAATACTTTAAATTTCACCATTTAAGCAGTTCTAAAATGGAATGACCCACATGAGATGAATTCCATGTATTATGATAGATAAATGTCACTAAAATAGTTTTATCTCTTCAATCTGGTAAAATGCAAAGTTCAGTTTACATGTACATGTACACTTTAACATTGGTCAATCTAACAATCGCCTTTGATCACTCAAAGGCAACAACCAAATGCAGACAATAGTTCATGTCAAAGTACCTTTCCCATTCCGTCTGCCAAGTGGGTCCTTACGTTCAATGACACCTCCACTGGGAACACACTCATCCTCCCAATCATCATGGAGATTCAGATCAGACAGCTGTTCATCTGTAAGTCCCTGCATGTTGGGTGGAAGGGTTATGCCGTGTTTTGCAAGCTCTTCCATCTCTGAAAGGACATATTCAAGGACATTTTGAAACCCTAACCCTAAGCAATAACACTTCTGTGCTACAAACTGAGCAAGACTTCTCCCATAAAAGACATTTACCCTGTGAGGTTCCACATTTTAAATGACTGAGACTGAATGTTTGAATTACAAAATGATAATAATACCAGAACTGGCTCCTTTCAGCTGAAGTAAATTTGGAAATGTACAGAGAAGAGTCAAAATTCATTGACAAAGTTCCTTCAAGTGTGTCCTCTAAAACTGGTGATTCCACGGTCAATTTATTGCCTGCTAAAAAAAACTCTTCATTCGAGACGTCTGAACGGTACTGGATACATTTTTATTGTGGTTTAAACTGATTTCAGGTCAAAATGACTTCAGCTGAGAATGTATCAGGCACAAAGGTAACAAGCAATTCAGATTTGAGTGAAACATAGTAACTTAAATGTGTACTGAAAAAAATCATTTTTACTTGAATTTTAACCGTATCTACCTACGACGAAGTTTTTTAAACAGATCGTAACGATTGCTTCAATATGTATACGCCTATTCCCTTCAAGTGAAGTAAAACCGAAGAAAGTTCTAGAAGCAGTGATCAAGAGGAGAAATCAAGTTCAAACCTCCACCAAAGATAGAGTACTGTATACTGAGGTCAAATGTGGGTTTCCCTACCGTAAAACAAACGTTCAACTTTTAATCTGCCATTCTGGATCCGAACAATTTGAGGTATCAGCTCGGAAAGTTCTGCTTGGCAAGTTGTTTCGATGAGGAATAGACTCTCATCTCCTTGTTTAATGTGCAATTTCACCATTTCAAAAGCGAATATTGGACACCCTTCACAATCGAAGATGGCGGAAAATATAGCGTTGTACTGTTGCCGTAGATACTATGGAAGCTATACCACAATGCATCACAATTTCGTCAGGGGACATCTCCTGATATCATGTATGACGTACTCCTCAAAGCATAATGAATAAGCAGGCTCGAAAATTCGATATTTAAACTTTTTTTCCAGAGCGCAGTTATTTTTTTAAGCAATGGAAATTCCTTCGTCTTCATCCGAAGTAATATGCACTGACACAAAAGAAAGATTGGGCTTTCAAGTGGATTTTTCTTGGGGTGTTGGTTCCCTTCGACAATGTGCAGGATTCCCGGCGCGATTTCTCGACCCACAGGATCAGAACTGCTACTTTACCCCACTTGGTTCCCTTGTAGTTTGCTGGGATGTGACAACAAGACAAAGGAAGTACTCTTTTCAAGCCCACAGTGATTTGATTACTGTCATGCTCTATAATTCCCACCTCAACGCCACTCTGACTGCGTGTTATAGTGGTGAAATTAAACTTTGGAGTCCAAACTGGGAATTGCTCCTCAGCTGTAATGCAACAATTGGAGATGTTCATTTTGCTGACTGGTCAACAAATGGAAAGCGAATTGTTCTCTGTGGCGATAGTATTCTTTCGGATTCTGTTGTGATCGTATTCGACCTGGTTAAGCAGCACGAAAAATGGGAAATTCAAGAAAGGTGGACGGTATCCCCCAAAACGCACAAATTAGGCACTCAAAGTTCTTGCAGCTCTTTCCAAGAAAAAAAAGGTTCGGGAGACCTCACTGAAACACCTGAATCATTCATCAACGAAGGCGAACCAAGCTCTACATATGTAGAGCAGAAAGATTTCTATGACATGGCCATCTTTGCATCACAGAACAATGTTATTGCACTTCTTCAGAGACACCACAATCATTTCAGTGAAGCTCACCTGTTCTCAGAAACTGGCATTTTCTTGAAATCTCAAGCCCTAGACCCCCTTGGAGATTCGAAAGCATCTCTGATGTGTTTGTCACCATGCCACAATGGTATTGTGGCTGTGGGATTTCAGGGAGGAATCTTTCTCCTGCTCCATGAGGCTGATCTGTCAATTGCATCATTCCTTCAGGCCACAGGTTCAGCACAGGTTGCACTGTGGCATGAAAACTACCTTCTTGCTGTTTCTTACTTGTCAGGAATTTTTTCCTGGTGGACAACCAGAGGAGAACTTGTTCACGAAATTAAAGGAGGCCCTACAAATTCTATTATCCATCTCAACTGGGCAGTACCAGGAAGAGCTCTATGGGTAGGTGGAATCATGTCTCTCCATCATCTCTCATTGGAATACAACAACCCTGGAGACCAATTTCCTCACTTTTTAAAGCAGGACCATGACTTAAAATTTCTTGAAGTCACTGGATGTGGAGTTGCAATGAATGAGAAAAACTTAGTCCTGGCAGGAGATTTCACAGGTAACATCTACATATGGCAAAAGGGTAAAACTGATCCAATATTCAAAACAAAGCATGAAAGCTCCATCAGATGTCTTACCTGGAACAATGACTATGCTTTCATTGGTTGTTTGGATGGTGATCTTCTAAGATGGCTACCAAATGGAGATGTTCCTCCATGTACTGCTTTGACTTGTCTTGGTGGCATTTTGACAATGGCTTGGTCACATGATTGCACCAGCTTAGCAATTGGCTTGGACAGTGGGCATCTGTGCCTTTACATGTTTCAACCAATCAACTCCTCTCGGCCCGAGGAACTCCTAAATTTTAGAGCTCATTTTAGTGAGAGAGAGGGCCAACAGGTGGCAGCTGAAATCTGGAGTTTGTGTTGGAGTCCATGTTCATCTATGATTGCCACAGCATCTGAGGATCAGACAGCCTGTGTATGGAATTCCTCCAATGGTGAGTACTGCTTTCTGTTTTCCAATTGATTATTCAGTGTACTATACAATAAATTCTAGCTTTATAGTAGACAGGCATGGTACATGTTGAAATAAAGCCTATAACTATATGCACAGCTGCACAATAAAGATAATCAGATAAGGATTCTACACAATCAAGCTTCTTTTTTTTTCCTTAGCATAATTAATTTATAGCTGTTCAAAACAATATGAATCAAAGAAAATTCACACCACATCACATTCAAGTCCATCCCCAGGAATATTTTGCTCCCCATCAGTTCTCCCCTTTTATGGCATGGCCTAATTTATTTTGGTTTAATATATTTCAGTCAAAGATCACTCATTTCAGAAATTATTGACATTACCTCACCTTCATCAATAAGTAATCAGTGATAGTTGATTGCTAACCAGTCAATGACTATTCGAATGATTGATGCTGATTTTAACACTAGAATAAAATAAGTAACAATAACTAACATCTCATTCAAATGGAGATAAGTTTATAAAGTGTACTTCCCCTTACATTCACTGCAAGTAGACACTGATTTTTACTAGAGGTCAGAACTAGCAGAATCCTCTTTGTGTATACTATTTGGTATATGAGCATGAAAAACTCTTCATGGAAATGCAAATTTAAATGAATGCAAATTTCAAATTTTAATAAGTCAATGGTTAAACTGCTTAAATTATGCACCTGCATGAACATAAATGGATCAATCACTATATCTGAAGGTATTACATGTAATACCCATGGTATGACTATTAAATACAGAAACATTTGTTTTATTGAACATTTTGTCTTGGTTACTGGTTTTATGAAATGCAATCGATGACGTTATGTTCCACCTGATCGTTATGTAGTGAAAAGCATATGTACATGTATCAAAAGTTATGTTCTTGTGTTGCTACTTCATGTTGATACATGTAGTTCTCAAATCTACAGTACTGAATAGCATATGAAATCTGAACAGTGAAAAGTTAATATTAAAATATTAATGTTTCAATAATATATTTACACCTTTAGAAATAACATTAAAGTAGTTAAAAGTGTAGCCATGAACATGGGATCTGATGCAATGTACAAAAGTATTGATTTACTGAGTACTTTCATTTGTGTGTCTGTATCCTGTGCTTGAGTGGAAAGGACTGATCATTTTATCTGAGCTTTTGCACATATATAAGGTTTAATTTTTTTTGCTTCATGCTTAATTATAATTTACATGCATGTAATATCGAAAGATTATTTCACTTTCTAAATAATGAACACTTTAGTTCCACCTATTGCATTGTTTTAATGATTAATAGTTTTCAAACAACTTGGTTCTGAAAATTCACTGATTATCCTGATGAGTGACCCAATTATATGGTGATTTTTACTGGCTGGCGATTTCTAATATTTTTAATTAAATAAGGAATTTGCAGGTATGAAACTGGAAATACATGTTTGTTTTTGGGAATCTATTGTCACCAGTTTGTCAAGTCAGTTTTGTGACTGACTGGCCACTGGGTCCTTGATTTGTAGTTGTTGCCATTTTTGTGTCCTTAACGACATTTTGTAATATAAATGTATTTGTTCATTGTACAGGTAAATTATTTGCAATACAACAGATCAGAGAAGTCAAGTTGCTTATCAGTGCTTCTTATTATTATTCTTTGGTCAAAGCATTTATTTATTTTCTCAAAAATTTGCATTCATTTGGTAAGCTTTCCCATTCATTGCCATTCAAACTTTCTCATTCAGTTACTTTTCCTATAATTATAGACTAAAATGAGCAATTCAGAACCCAAAATTTTCAGATGAAATCCCTGAACCAATCAATAATGGTCTAATCACAGGGCAGGACATCTTCTTTCTCACTGATGAACATGTTTTGCACAACATACATGTACAAAACAAAAACAAAAGATGAACAGCTATTTTAACTTTAGAGAATTGCAGGGTGTTTTTTTTAATTTTTTTGCTCTGAAGAACAGTTATAAATCATCACAATCATTGTATTCTTTAGGAGTAAAAATTAAAACACTTACTGGGCATACAACAGCTGTGACATCAATTGACTGGAAGGAAATGGCAAATGGGCAGTTGTTATTGGCAACCTGTGCTGATGACAGGACAGTGCACTTACGAGATGGCGTTAATTTTGAGATGAAGCATGTCTTTGGCACAAAAGACATCCCAGGATGGTACACACTTACCTACCTGAGCTTGAACCCCACCAAGCATTGGTGTCTCTGTTCAACGCAGAATGGGCGTTTAGTTCTCTGGGACTGCTTGAGTGGTGAAAGACTTGCATGCAGGAAAATGCATGCAGGTTCTATTGAAGGACTGGTGTGGAACAATGATTATTCTCTGTGTGCCACTGTTAGTTCAGACTGTGTAGTGAACACATTTAGTGTGGACGAAATAAAATCAAAATTGTGATACAAAATTATAAATGCGGTGGACTTTTTCTACCTTTTTTAGTTGGTGTATGTACACATGTATGATGGTTTAAGATATGAAAATCCTGCATAGCCACACATGTTTTATTCATATAACTAATTTATAAGTTACACTTTTCAGCTTCCAAGTTGATAAAGAACGTGTAAATGTTTCCCCCAACTAAGAGTTTGGTACAGGCTGTGTCATTCTACTCGTCAACCGACACTGTACTATGGTAATTAAAATCTCGAGATATTTTTTTCATTTAGATTATCTATTTATTTTGCCAATTTGTTACTAAAATGAATCCGTTAAAGTACAGGAGGAAAAGACAATAATATGGAAATACAGATAAGGCTGATAACCAGGCTTAATAAGAGAATGTACAATCGCGTGACAGTTGATAAATGCGAAGCCTGAATCAATTAGACATCGAGGGCGAATAATCAATTTTTTTTAGTATAAATCTACTGGCCGTTCAAAACTTAAGAACAAGACAGGCTCATGTTTTCAATTTGTTTTGCTTTCAACAACCGCGTATTGTTTGTCTATTCATTTTAGTTACTCTCTCTCACATGATATACAGTTGTATAGCAAGTAACGTGCGAACCAGATTGCAAAATTATTGATAAAACGTCTTTGGACTTATACTGATACAATTTATAGGACAGACTTAGATGAAAAAGCGATTTTTCTGGACGGGTATCATTACTGTTAGTGAAAAGAATCTTGAGAGAACATACGACCGACCCTTGCTGTGCATGCTCAGTTTGCCATGTCTAAATAAATCGCCAGCTTTCAAAAGGAGTCAAAGGTCATACAAGAAAGAAAAACAAACAAGCGACGTCCTAACTGATCTTTGTATCCTTGAGGAATCCGACAATATACTACCCGGAAACGTAGAACAACGGCTGAATACTATAAATTACACACTGAGACATAAATTGATAAACAGTAAAAGATGTCATTCGAATTTAGCTTTCGTCATGGAATATACATTTATTCCGAAATTGATAGCCTTTCAGCTGGGTTGAAAAGCACTTTTCCATATGTCCGTCGAATTTTGGGTGTGAAATGACAAGAGAATCGCCGAACGTTTTAGCACTCTGTAGATTTTAAGGGAAAAATTTCCTAGTTTAACGCATGTTTGGTCTATGGAAAATGAAAAAAAAATTAAATAATGTAAGTTACTAAATCACCCACGTAGGATAAATGCTGTAATCAATTATCCATATGATAAAAATGTAACCATGTAATTAATTCATTCTTTACGCAGATAAATGCAATGAGCAGTGTTATGCTTGTCCAAATTGTTTCTTTTTTCCCTCCCAAACAAAGGCGAGGTCTGTTTTACTTTACAAATCTGCGAGAAAGGTAAGAGCTCTTACGGTTACGTTATAAAAGTAGAAACGCAGTAAACAAAAAATGCCACATTTCTGCTGCGTTTTCGCGACTCAGTGCAGCATTTTGTGATGTGAAGTTAGGGTGGCTGACTAGATGTTATATCTACTCTTATTGAGAAAGCTTTTATCTGTACGATTCTGAAACATCTCTTCTCGGTTTGTAGCTCATTCTGTTTAAACTTGAGCGTTTTTTATGCCGCCTTTTGTCCAAAACAAATGAAAAATTATCTGAAGAATGTTCTTCGCTAGATATTGAAGCAATGCACAGCGTAGCTGTGGACACGTCAACTCCAGTTCGTTCTTTTAGAAACACGACAAACAATGAATAGGCCAAAGGACGTCGCAGAAACAATGAGCCCATGGCTCTTACGTTGTCTTCAAATATCTCTTAATTTAGCTGTTAGCATGGTTCAGTAAACGTCTGTCTTTTTTGCCTGACCTTCTGTCTTTAATAATGACTTTTTCTAAAAACAGGTCTGTCAAAAAGATTATTTTATCCAACAACAACTTTTAATTTTCGGTCGCCAAAAAGATTTTACCAGCACTTTTTTCTTTAAAACTTTTTTTCATTCACTTATAGCTTTAGGCGCCGCTAATGAATTTTTCAAGAAATTCTAATAGCCTTTCAGCAGGGCTGAAAAGCACTTACTGTAACCATGATACCGCATTCAGTTGAATTTAGACTTAAAATGAGACTAAAATGAATCACCAAATAGCTATCGGCACGTTCTAAGGGACATTTTCATAGTTTGGTGCATTTAAAGTCAACAGGATGCGGCACTGGAAATGCATGTAAATTTCTGATTCTCTTTTGTGGAGTAAAATGCAATGAAGGGTGTCATGCACGCGGAAATTCATTGTTGATTTTTTTTTCAAAATATACAGGTAGTAAAGGTTTGTCTAACCGGAAAACTCAGCGGGAACGGTCTGAGCTCTCACATTTTTTCGGGTGTTGAAACATGCTAAACGAATGCTAAGCAGAGGAAAAAATGTATTTTCTGACATGGTTTCGCGACAAAGGAAAGAAACTCAGGGAAGAAGTTTAGATTCCAAAGAGTCGTCTGCTCTCTTACAGTCAACCAACCTCATTTTTTTTCCGCCTCTCATTTAGAGTTGAAAGGGCTTTGTTTGGACGGTTTGTAAAACATTTCTTCCAGGTTTGTAACACCTTAAACTTAAGTTCGCACCTTTATTTCGATCTTTTTTCAAAGCTTCCCTTCTGACAAACACATTAAAAAAAAATCTTGAGAAAATTCTTTGTCCTGCACAGAAACAATTTCTAACATGTTTGCATGGCAACCTCGAAGGACTGAGAGGCAGGCAGGAGACACGCGAGGGCAGGTGGCTGAAAGGGAGAAGGGCTCATTCGTCCACGAACGGAAACGAATGAGGCATTACGATCGGTCAGTTATCTGTTACTCAAAGCGAATGATGAAAACAGATCGATCTGAGTTCAAATCAGATATTCGATCGGTTCAAATAGGAACGGAGTCGCTCTCGAAGAGATCTGAATTTTCTCCACGAAAATTTCGTAAGTTTGATTTCGTTGTTATTTAGTACAATTTTGATATTATTTTTATCGGCAAGGGGTAAAGATATTCTAGAAGTAGAGACATTCTCCCCAGGAGATTTTTCACTTTGGGCCTTTAAGCCTGAATATCCGTCATATCTTTTCTCCCAACACACTTGGTGCAGACTTATTTCTTTTCCTAGAGTCTTGATGAGTACCTCTCGCATCAGGTATACCGAGACACCTAAGGTCCATCTTTGAGGCGACTCATCTTGGATATTTTCCTGTCAAAGGAATTTCGAATGTGGTTTCAATAGTTCTCTTATGCCATACCGATAAACATGATAAATAATCATTCAGTTCCAGACGTTAAAAATTTGTCCTGCTGATAAATTTATTGGCGGTTTCACTTTTCACCGGAAGGTAATAACAAAGGTGCCTCAGATGACAGTTGACGTAACAAGTAATTCGCTGAGGGAGCGGAAATGTGGTACGTCTGCGCTCAGCAGCGGACTGTCCCTTTCCTTTCCTCCCCCTCGTCTGCCTTTGTTATTTTTGCTCTCTTAAGCCTCTTGCCTCTGCTACAAGACTTACCGTTTGTCTGAAAGGAAATGGAAAAGACTGATGCAGACTTGTGAATAGTGGGGTTAAGAATGTTTTATCGCTGGTCTGTTATTAGGATGTCAAAGGGGATAATTTTCTGAAGAAACTGTGTTGCTGCGTCGGCGTGGGATATTATTAGATACTTTGTTTTTGCATGATAAAGTGAGTTGATATTGTAAATAATGTAAATTGGCCACCGTAAAGAGCTCCTAGAGCTGACTTTTCGAGCGTTAGCCCTTCGTCCAAGCGTCCGTTTCGCAATTACGTAAAAAGAATGAATATGAAAAATAAGTCAGCAGGAAGCCGGAATCATACTACAAAAAAAAAAAACAATAAATGCAAGAAAATTATTTTCAAAATTGTGTAACCAGATATCGGAGAAATTGGGATTTAATAAGTGAAAAAAGTACCCACATTCGCTTCCCTAGGGTGTATACCGTACCACCAATCGAGATCATTCAAATTTCTTCTAATTAATAGCTATTTCACCGTTTTTTCCTTAATAATTGAAGTCATGTTTGCTTCTCGAGCCACAAAAGCAATTTTTTTTAACGATAACTTTTACATTTCGGACGCCAAGTGAACTCGATTTTATCAACATATTTCTTCCGAAACATTCTCGCCACTGAAAGATATTTTTATCGGTCGAGACCTTATTTATATTATGTACTGAGTTAGACTAGGATATCTTAAGGCCCTGAATATATGTTTTGTTGAAAACTTGTAATTGCCCGTAAATAGGATAGAAGAACACGTTCCGTAAATAAGGTGACCTATTCCACTTAGTCGAATTTTAGGCTGCAAATGATAGGGGGAGTCTCCTAAAACTGATGTGAGCGATTTGAGGGAAATTTTAATCGTTTGGCCATGTCGAGTCTACAGGACATGGAAGTAAAACCTTCGTGGCTATAGATGCAATGAACAGAGAGTAGCAAGCACAAATTCACACCCACCGACGCAGCACCACAGTTTCTCTAGAAACTTGCCATATTTATTCGTTTTAAGTTTACAGTTACCTATTACAGGACGCAGCGCCACAGTTTCTATAGAAAGTGTGCCCCATTTATTCATTTCAAATGACGTTTACAGTTACCCACCGGCGCAGCACCACAGTTTTCTTTAGAAACTCGCTCCCTTCATTCATTTTAGGGTTCCAGTTACCTCTTAAGAGTAGATTTTCAAATAAATAAACCAGCATGAAGGGCATCCAACGCAATTAAACAATGCAGTCAGTCTGTTTTAAATATGATACCAGAATCAGTGATCTAGATATCAGACAACAATTGCAAGCATTCAGTGTCCATCATTTTCTTCTGAACTGAGAACACAAACGGAACAAGTCAAAGTTCTTCTCTAAACCTATCTTCACCTGACTTCCTCATTTAGGAAAGATTACTTCGGGTAAGGATTTGAACAATATATCATTCCCTAACATTTTCCAGGTCATACAACACATGTTGTGAGACCTCGCCAACTTTTGCATGATTCATTTTGACTTCCTACTGGCTTTCATATCAATTTCTAATGTGAAACGATGTCTGTGCAACATTTGTCAGTCGCCGTCCTACTTTAGGAAGTGTTCTCCATTTTCAGGAACACTATAAGAGAGTTCTATTACCGTAGTTGCCCAAAAGCAAATGGAACTCGAGTCCTTGTTTGTTGTGCCTTGTGTCGTGATAACTCTCGTAAGTCTGATCGTCATCGGTAGAGACCGCCATTTGGCAGTAAACAATTCTATTGCGAAACTTTATCGCGTGACACGCAAACGCTAGGGTTATAGAATGTTATAATTTGGTTTTATCAATTTAATTGATATTGTAAATTGGCCACCGAAAAGATTTTCCGAAGCTGATGTTTTGAGCATTAGCCCATTGTCAAAGACAAGATAATTTGTTTGTTTTTTTTTTAACCAAATTATCAACACAGTTTTTTTATAAACTTGCCCTTTTAATCATGCATAGAATTTCTGTTTCGTATTGGTGATATATGTCAACCATCCGCTTCCTGTGGCCGTTGCCTCTGTGGCTTTGATATTTAAAATTTTCTGCGTCATTGTTAAGGTTTCCTCGTATAAGGACACGCTGCCCCAAAATCACGAATTTCAGCCACTGAACGAATAAACACCTGAAGGTAGGCCAAGGGCTCTCCCTTTTGAACGCGATGAAAAGCAGATCAAGTTTGGCCATTGGCTTCCTGCGTCTGTTTTTAATCGTTAATGCTTGTACTCCGTTAATTTTGGTTTCTTGTTGAATACCAGCATCTGTTTTTAATCGTTAGTGCTCGGAATAGTGCATGGGAAATCAAGGTTCTTCTTTTCCATCATATCAAGTTTTCATCCCAGTAAATGGATTACTGAACCCCCCTATGAAGTGAAACAATAGGTGTACCTAGTGGTAATCATAGGTATCTCTATAAATGCTTTAAACCATACTATGCGATTCAGGAGACGTTTCACCTACGCTTCGTACGTGTTCCCTCTCGATGTCCTCTCGAGGTTTCGTGACTTCATCCTGATTATTATTTCTGTCAAGGATAATTTGCAACGTAGCTGTTAAGTAATTTTCATTTTGTTAAGTGCATAGACATTTGAATCACATAAAGCAGAGAGAAAGAAAATTCATTTTACGTGCCTTGCGGAAAGCCTCAGATATTCGCATTGTTTATATAACTTACATAAATGTATCCGGGTTTAATGAAAATTTTCCTCTTTCTGAACCATTTTCTGAAAAAACAGCTCCGGGAGACCTTTACGAGGAAGATTGACCAACGACGGGCGAGCAGTTCAAGAACCGCAATATTTGGTTAAAATCATGTAAATTAATAAAAATTACAAAGGAATCAGGCCATATTTTTCATTTGCTACGCTCGAAATTGCGAGAAAAGTGTAAACTCCAAAACACAAAGAAATGTCAATTTCGTAAATACTAGCATCTCTCCTTACCCCTTTCTCCTATGTCTAAGTGTTTCACCACGATTAGTCTCGATGGCCGAGTGATTCTACAAAAAAATACATTAATAGGATTAACATAGTATTTTCGCAAACTTCGCTTATTATATAAAAAGTGGGTATTAGATAGAAGGTTCCAGAACACCTTGGGCGCACAAAAGATACGTTATCTCACCGTGGTTATCAGGCGTCGTTGTTTTTTCTATTGAAATAATTGCTCAGTTTGAAGTCCTTACGGGATATAACTGAAGTTGACGTCGTTAAATATCTCTTGCTACCAATTAAAGGTAAAAGCAATCCACGGGTTTCAATTAGAATTGGTAAGGAATAGCTCTTTGTGGTTTCCTCGTATCATTACCTGCTACAAGCAATGATTTTCAAAGACCACCACAGCGATTTAAAAGAACGATGGGAGGCGAAGGGTCATGTTAACTCCGCGGGAGTTCAAGATACAGCTATTGTCAAAATATATTTTCCATAGATAATTGAATGCTGAACATAAACAAAACCGAAATCTTCTTTGATGTACGTTAAAATTAAATATCACTCACGACATCCCTCGAGTCAAAAAACTAATAAATAGGCAATTCTCTTGGGACAGAAACCAGTCAAAGAGGGGACGTTCAAATTTTGCGAAGTGCGTTGAGAAGGTATGGCGACATTTGAACGAACGGCCCTCGTTTAAATTTTGTGTAAGGTAAAAAAGGAGAGAGAGAGGGGGTAAAAAATCGCAAAATATCGTCAAAATATGGGCTGAGACGAGAAAACTTTTAATTTTGGAAATTATCCGGCTTTGCAGTAGGCAGGATAACTTGTGCATAAGATGATAAGTTTAGTCACTTTTAAACTTTTTGCATTGAATTTTTTCACTTTCTAAGTTGTGGAAAAAAAAGTAATATAGTGCGACAAATGTGCAAATAAGTGAGCGGAAAGCTGATGAATGGTTTGAGAAGAAATATTTTCTTTTAAGGGCAGCAACTAAGATTATTACGAAACTTCATCTCTGTTTCAAGGGAGGGAATTCCATTATTGATTGATCAAAACTTAAAGAAGACGAACTTTTGCTTTTTTTTTTATTATTATTTCCTTTTCGTGTCACAAGATATAAACCATGCAGTTGTAAATCAGTTTGATCATTGCTTTTGACTCGGTTCCCTTTTTTCTTTCTGATAAACAAGAGGAGTATTTGACAAATTGTTTCATCTTAACACAGATATTTTGGGTGGATCGAAATGAGCACCAACTGCTTAGAAACCAATGTAACATTTCCTGTGTACCTCCTGGACAAAGAACCGTTTGGAGTAACCATCTTACGAATTGGTTTCCAAATTGCCCTGGGCTTCTTGGGGGTTATTGGGAACGTCACAGTCTGTGTGGTAATTATCCAAAAGCCCAAGGTACTTGGACCCGCAAGCCAGTACCTCTTCAGCCTGGCGATAGCAGATCTTTGTACACTGATCTTCAATTTGCCAATTGCCATTTTAAAGGAGGAAGATCCGTTCAGGTGGTCACTTGGCCGAGCCTTTTGCCTGTACATTATGCCGACTACAGAAACGTTCTTTGGCGCTGCTATTTTTTCTATCGGCTTGATTGGGTTCGAGAGGTACGTGAACATCGCTCGAAAAACAGCCCGCGCCCGGAGAAGGCTATCGTACAAGAAAAGGTGCTTTATTCTGATCGGTGTGTGGGCTTCTGCTTTTGCTGTTGGTTCCATTCCTATGTATGCGTTTATTGAGTACGACTCGTGTCACAAAATGTGTCACCTTCCCTGGTCGATGACAGTATTCATTACCTACATCATGACCCTCACGGTCCTTTGGTACGTATTTCCTCTGGCTGTCGTCGCTTTTAGTTACATAAAAATCGCGCAGCTGGTCTCCAAAAGGACCACCTCTTTACAGGGTATGCCTTATGGTTCCACGAGTATGGGAAACCTTCACTCCTCAAGTATCAAAACCATGCTGCGCCAAAAAAGGAAGACGTATCGCATCCTTACACCTTTAGTAATTTTGTTTGCGGTGTGCATGCTCCCACTGACTCTGCTCAGATTGGTTGCGATATTTTGGACAGAGATTGCTTTCAAGCCATATTACACTGTTCTGCTTACTCTGATGGTTGTATCAACGATATTGAACTCTGCTGCAGACCCAGTCATCTACTGCGTTGTAAACAGGGAGTTCCGCCAGCAAGTTAAAAGTATTTTTGGTGTTACCCGCCTTTTTCAAAAGCTTGGGAGATTTATTAGCATCAGAAGTTTATCTTTAAAGGGAAAAGGAAGTTTCACAGTTTCTGTCGAAAGCCAAACATCACAAACCACCCGTTTGTAGAAACTTAGGGAGAGGAGACTAGGACCTTTAAATAGTAGAGCGGCCGTAAGAACTATAGAAGCAAATGAGAAAAGCAAAGATAACCAACTTCGATTACACTTTTATTTTCACATGCAAACGTATAAGGCATGATAAACATTGGTTATTAGTTGAAGGATACAGCTGGATGCGAAAATTTTTATGCTGGACTTATAGCTAAAAGAGGTGTATCATGAAATAAATATAACATTATTCTAACTCTCGCTCAGATTTTTGTAATCTCGATTTCAATGTGTTGTGAACGTGCAGTTCGAATCACTTTTGTGTGTCGGCTGTTTGTCACGGCATAACTGCTACGAACCGAACATAACGACCCAACGTAAAGTCATCAACGTTACTAAATACAATATGTATTTATTGAGTTTCTCTTTTTTTTGAGACGTTGTCTGCGAATACGCATTAATGTTTGTGCACTGTGAGAGCAAAGAGTTTCCTTTGTTACAGAGGCGCTACTTTCCAAAGTTTTTCTCTAAACTGAAAGTTAAATTAAAGTATTTGTAATTATGTGGTCTGTGATATCAACAGAACAGCTTATAAAATGTGTTATGGATTAATTGGCCTGATAATTCTATTTTTCTGTGTCACCTTGTCTTTCACTTCTTAAGCTCAAGAGCAAATTAAGGAATTACCTACAGAATTCTCTGTTAGCATTGATTTAAATGGTAATTATTAAACGAAGTTGTTCGCTATTCATATATTTTGGTATCATTGCTTCTTGTATGCCGTAGAAGACAGAGATATTCAACACTGTAATTCATTGGAGTCTTTAGGCACGTTAGAACACAATAGGACACAGAGTAAATTAAACAACAACTGTTCCGATGCCGCGTGTGACAAATTTACACTCATCTTTCACATCTCCCTCTTCGACTTGGACTGGCTCTGTTAGATTTTCCTTCGCCCCAGAGTCTTCGTGTTCAATAGCGTGATCATTTTGTTCTCGATCGTTTATAAGTGCAGTATTCTCTGATGCGCCTATTTCCCTAACTCCACCCCCCAGGTTATCGTGGTCATGGCGACAGATACGGCATGGCAAAATGATGAACCCACGCCACCATAAAAATAGAAAAAGGCACATGGCTAAAAGAGCTACTGCTGCAATTGGTAATAGGATGTCCACTTCCCAATCTGGAAAACAAACAGATTTTATTTAGTTAATTAATAAACTGTTATTAATGACTAATAATGATATACAGTGTTATCTTTCTACCTCTTTCCTTCGATTCACAGAAATTGCTATTTCAAAACATTTGTTCCATCGAGCGCCGCTAAATAAGGCCCTTACATATAGTGATTTCAGTATTTTCGTTAAAAGAGAAGAGGTTGCAAACATGATTGTAACTTTAAGTAAGCTTTCCAACCAATTTAGAATCTCCACAGCTTTAGTTGACCTTTGTGAAGATAGTCCACCCTATTGATCTCTTGATTGCCGCTCTAAAGTGTGAAAAAAACTTAATCAGAATTGAAATGTCCATATTCACTTGGCAATTTATTGCTTTCATACAAACAAAAAGAACAACACAGAAGCCTTAGGCTTGACCTGAGACAAACATCTTACCTAGGGGCGCGGCTGTGGGTCCTGGTTTTGTTGAGGGAGGAGCTAAACACCGATTAGGACATCCACAGGGAGTTTTGAGGATAAATATCTATCAAAAAAAGATATA